AATAAAAGTACTCAACTTATCAAATCCTTTTCTTTTTAAATGTAAGTACTCAACTCATCAATATCTCATTATATATAAATAAAAGTACTTAGCTTATTAGATTACTTTCTATTTGAATGAAAGTACTTAAAACATTAAATCTCTTACCATTTGTATTAAAGTACTCAGTTCATCTAATCTCTTTCTACTTAAATAAAAGTAATTAACTTGATATATTTCTTCCTATTTGAATAAAAGTACTTAACTTATTTCATCTCTTCCATTTAAATGAAAGTACTTAACATAAGAAATCCCTTTTTTATTTAAATAAATGTACTTAACTCATCAAATCTCTTGCTATTTGAATGAAAGTACTTAACTCATCAAGTATTTTTGTATTTGAATGACACTACTTAATTCATCAACAGTCTTTTCTTTTGTATAAAAATACTTAACTCCTCAAATCTATTTCTATTAAATTGAAATAATTAACTTATCAAATCTCTTTCTATTTGAATGAAAGTACTCAACTCATTCAATCTCTTTTAATTTGAATAAAAGTACTTAACTTATAAAATCTCTTTCTGTTTAAAAAAAAGTACTAAACCTTCAAATATCTATTTATTTAAAAAAATGTACTAAACGCATCAAATCTCTTTCTATTTGAATAAAGGTACTTAACTAATCAAATCTCTTGCTATTTCAATATAGGTACCTAACTCATCAAATATCTTAGGATTTGAATGGCAGTACTTAATTTATCAACCCTCTTTTCTTTTGAATAAAAGTACCTAACCCATTAAATCTATTTATATTTGAATAAAAGTACTAAGCTCATCAAATCTCTTATCATTTAAATGAAAGTACTTAACTTATCAAATCTCTTTCGATTTGAATCAAAAAACCCGACACTTCAAATCTCTTTCTATTTGAATAAAAGCACTCAATTCATCAAATCTCTTTGGATTTTAATGAAAGTACTAAACTTATTAAATATTTTTTTATTTGTTTAAAAGTCCCTAACCTATCTAAACTTTTTCAATTTGGATAAAAGCTCCTAACAAATAAAATCTCTTTTCATTTAAATGAAAGTAACGAACACATTAAATCTCGTTTTATTTGATTAAAAGTACTTAATTTTTTAAATCTTTAACTATTTTAACAAAAGTACTCAACTTATCAAATCTTTTTCTGTTTAAATATAAGTACCTAACTTAATAAATCTCTTCCTACTTAAATGACAGTACTTAACTTATTTTCTCTCTTTCAATTTTTTAATAAATTACTTAACTAGTTAAATCTTTTTCCATTTAATAGAACGTACTCATTTCATTAAATTTCTTTTTATTTAAATAAAAATACTTAGCCCATTTAAACTCTTTCCAATAAACGACGGTACTCAACGTATTAAATCTCTTTCAATTTAAAGATAGTAACTCAACTCGTCAAATCTTTTTTCATTTGAATGAAAGTACTCTATACATTAAGTCCTGTTCCATATGAATAAAAGTAATTAACAAATTACATCTTATTCTATTTAAATGAAAATAGTCAACTCATCAAATCTCTTTTCATTTTAATGAAAGTACTCAACTAATTAAATATCCTTCTATATTAATTAAAAAACTTAACTTATCCAATCTTTTCTTATTTAAATGAAAGTACTTATCACTTCAAATGTCTTTCCATTTGAA